TTGCTATCATTCCTTAAATGGGGTTATATATTATAGTTTTTGTTAAAGATTAGCCTATCTAAGGAAGACAGGAAGGAGTTATTAAACTGATTAGTTCATTGCCTTTAAAATGGGCTGGGTAAGTACTAATACAGGAAACAAAGATAAAGAAACACACAGAGTAGAAGGGCATGTAGGAAGCCACAGAGAGGCATGTGGGTATCAGGGGTGAAGGAGGAGAAATAAGGGCAGAGAGGCTGAAAGGTTTGACTTCTATACCATTTAGCCCAGGCTGCCCCTCACTCCGCTTGGCTCTGCTCCCATGAGACAGCCCATGGAGAGAAGAAAGTCAGCTCATGAAAGCAGGCCTTCCTTTTGAGTTGGGTCTTGACAAATCACACTTTTTTTTTTTTTAGCTATATATATATTTTTTATTTTTTATTTTTCTTTTATTATTCATATGTACATACAAGGCTTGGGTCATTTCTCCCCCCTGCCCCCACCCCCTCCCTTACCACCCACTCCGCCCCTCCTCTTCCCCACCCCCTCAATACCCAGCAGAAACTATTTTGCCTTTATTTCTAATTTTGTTGTAGAGAGAGTATAAGCAATAATAGGAAGGAACAAGGGTTTTTGCTGGTTGAGATAAGGATAGCTATACAGGGCATTGACTCACATTGATTTCCTGTGTGTGTGTGTTACCTTCTAGGTTAATTCTTTTTGATCTAACCTTTTCTCTAGTTCCTGGTCCCCTTTTCCTATTGGCCTCAGTTGCTTTTAAGGTATCTGCTTTAGTTTCTCTGCGTTAAGGGCAACAAATGCTAGTTAATTTTTTTTGTGTGTGTCTTACCTATCCTCACCCCTCCCTTGTGTGCTCTCGCTTTTATCATGTGCTCATAGTCCAATCCCATTGTTGGACAAATCACACTTGAATGACTTTAGGCACAGGATGGTGAGGACTAAAAGCACAGGCAATAAGTCTCTTCTCACAACAGTGACACGTGCATGATGGGCTCAGCTCATCATTGATTTCTATGATGTGCAACCTTGGATTAGTTTAATTGCATTCTAGAATGAGCACTAAAAAGAGACATTCTACTTCTTTTACAGGAGTGCTGTGAGAATTAAGTAAAATGACAGAAGGTGCCTACTCCCAAAGGAAGGTTTGGGAGCCTCACTTTTTCTAGCTGTACAAGAACAGACCTTCCCTGAGTCTGGATAGAGACCTTGACCTCTCAATGATCCCCTGCACCAAGGAGCAGACCTCAGAGTTATCAAAATGGTGGTTCAACCTCCAGCAATGTCACTTACCAACCTTAGAAAGGCCACTCATGCATTCATTTATTCATTCATTGACTGCATGCATGTCAAAGAAGTTACTGAGCAGAATTTTGCTGATGACCTACTTGCACCAGGCACAGTGCCAGATGCTGTGGACACAAGTGATGAGTTAGGCTGACAAGGTCTTTGTTCTCATGAAGGCTATATTTTTATAAGAGAAGAGAGATGGACAATGAATAAATAAGCAAATAAATTAGATAATTTCAGAGTGAGAAAATTGCTATGTGCAAAATAGGCTCAGCAATATTCTGGGAAGGGGAAAGGGATTATAAACTAGGTAGTCAGAAAAGTTCCTCTTCCAGAGGAAGTCCTTGATCTAGAACAGAAGCATGTTAAACCAGGCTGACACAGGAATAGCTGGAGAAGGAGCATTCAATGCAGAAGAACTCAAAGTACAAAGGCCTTGGAGAAGGAAAGGCCTTGAGACTCAGGGGACAGAGAAAAGGCCCATGTGACTGTGTGGACTGTGTGCCTAGTGATCATTGGTAGAGCAGAGGAACATGAAGTCAGCAACGTGGGCAGGACCAGGTCCTGCAGGGTTTCACAAGTCGTGTTAAGGGATCAATCTTTATTGAAGGCAGTCCCATGATAGGACTTCTGTTTGAGGAAGGCGATTCTGAGGCTGCATGTAGAGTATAGACAGAACAATGTGGAACTAGAAAAAACAGTTAGAAAGATATTCATGTTGTTTAGTGAAAATGATGGTTTTTGTGTAGGGGGGTGCCAGGGGAGACAGAGAAAGAGACAAATTTGAGATGAATTTTAGAGATGTCCCTTAAGGATTTTTGTCTGGAATTTGGAAATGAGTGTCAAGGAAATAGGAAGAATCTAACCATTTTAATTTGTTAAAACTTCAGCTTCTTCACCTATAAATTTGGAATGTGTTGTCATAGGCTACTGTTAAGGATTAAATGAGAAAGAGTGTGCTGCTTGGCACAATGTAGATACGTGAGAAGCAGCCAGTTTACCCTGGTTCTGACCCAGGTTGAACTGAAACTCTCTAGATGTTCCAGCAAGTTCGTTTCAATATTGCAGTCATTATAAATTCCAACTATCATAAAATGTGTGCTGAGCTCAATATGCTCAGAAAAATCTCTTAAGCTGTCACCAGTTTAGAATAAGTTAAAATAAATACTGGGTTATTAAACTGTAAAGAACAGCCAATAGAAACTTCCAGATATCATGTAACAGCTGACAAGCATTCGTCTCATGCTTATTTTGGGTGCCTTGTGACTTAACACTCCTTTCTAAATGGCATGAATATTTGGTGAAGAATGTACCCTCTTTGGACAGAAACCACATGTGGAAAACTATCACACAGGTTTTGGTATCATATTTCTGGAAAATTCTTCTTTCAGAGACTTTGAAGAGGTTTTCTTGGGTTAAGGGGTACACAGAAGGACCACAGAACTAACTCTAGTTTTCTAGGGGCAGGAAGACCATTCATCCGACTTGAATTACATTGAAACCAGAGACTGCTATGTCTACATTCCTAATCACTGTGTGATGAAGTCCCCAAAAAGACTGAAAGAAAAGCACAGGATATCCAGGGAACACTAACTTACTCTGGAGAGTGGGGACAGAAAAGGGGTCACTTCTTTGAGGAAGTGCGGCTGAGTTCTAAATAAAAAGAGTCATGGTAGAGGCAAATGGGTGTGCAATGACCCAAAGTCAAAAGAACATACTGTGTTCCAGAGACTGATTGTTCAGTGTGATTAAATGGCGAGAACAAGAGGTTAAGGCCAGGAGGAGTCTGCTGTCAAAGCGCACGGAGTCTGTTCCCTAACAGCAAGAAGCCAAATGGTTACTGCAGGGGAAGGTTTCATCACAGCTCTGCTGCTAGACAGAGGACAGATTGCAGGGGAACACAGATTGCTAGTGGGGCTGTTTTTTAATTTCAATTTTCAGAGTCAATTTATAGACCAATGGTTCTCATCCAAGGATGATATGACACCTTTGAGACCATTTGGAAGTGTGTGCAAATAATTTTTTGGCTGTTGCAATAACCACAGAAGTTAAAAATCCTGTAATGTGGGGACGGCCCCACACAAAGGTAGACTCCTCTTCATAACGCCACCAGGGACCCTGATGGGATATCTAGCAATAGGCCAAGCACAGAAGACTTAATTGTAGGAGATTTGCAGTCTTCTCAAGGATAGGATCTGAGCCCCATTCATCTCTACATCACTTGCACAGGGGATGTACCTAATAACTTCTGGCTGAATAATGGACTAACTAAATAAATGAATGGAAACCAAATGAATGAACAAAAGTTTGAAGTATATCCTTTAAAAACGTCATCAACAGGGTGTAGTGATACATGCCTACAATCCCAGTACTCAGGCTGAAGTAGGAGGATCAGGAATTTGAGACAAGTCTGGGCTACAGAGCAAGTGAAACCCTGCCTCAAAAAACAAAAATACTAACAAAAAATATCAACAAAACAGGGTATGGAGCAAACCAAAAATTCTACTACTTTCTGACGAATCCCTGATTGGGTGAGTCTCATGCTTGTTTGTGTGTGTGTATGTGTGTGCAGGAGTTGCTATAACTACTTACAAGAGTTAAATGCTTAGTAATAGGAAAGCAAGTTAAGCCTTTGGGATCCCTAAGAGGTATAGAGAGGCCTGGGCTTCTCCAGATCAAAGTGGAAGTTCAACAATGCTGCAAATGTCACATGACATTTGTAAAAAGAAAGGATCATTTAGAACATATTTGGAATTCTGTAGGTAACAGGCTTAAAGGTTCTCTTGCTGTCCTAGGTTTGCAGCTTTTCCTGGGGAACCTGGACTTCAGATAACTCCTGGACCATGAGTGTGATCAACTGATTGATCCATTCATTCAACAGTATTTATTGTGCTCCCTCTATGAGGGTTATCTATTTAGAGGAATGGATCATTCTTATATTTTTTTCAGGCTCCTGTCTTGCGCACAGAGAATATTCAAGGAATATTTGCTGATTGACTGACAGGCTGAAACAAAATGGATTTTCCCACCCTAGTTTCATATCTGGGTTATAGTCGACAGAATTTATTGCATCTGTAAAACCTCCTTAAATTTATGAGTCATTAAGTCTGGGAGATTACTATTTTCTTTTGTATTCCTTTTGCAATAAAAGTTTGTTTTTGTATTATCATTGTTATGAAAATCAGCTGTTGATAGTTCCAGTATGTAAAGTCTCTCTGACAGGGGAAGAGTTGGTTCTGTATTTTTAGTGATTATGTAGCCTTATCCTCTTCCTCCCTCCCCCAGTTGGAGTCTTAGGGTGTGGACCTTAAAGCCTCAAAGCAGAACTGGGCGCAGTGAATTCATCTTTTTTTAATCCTAGCATTCTCTCTGGTGTGTGTGGGTTTGTGTGTGTGTGTGTGTGTGTGTGTGTGTGTGTAGACAGAGAGAGAGAGAATTTGCATATACTCCAGTCTTAGGACCATCCTCACGAAATCTTAAAAGAAAAATAACCAAGCTTCTAGGTGTCCATGATTCAGAGACCCAGGAAATGCAAAAGAACTTAAAATTCACTTGTACACCATTGGGTGGTGGTAGTGGTGGTGGTGTTATGGTAGGGACTGAGCCTGAACAGAAGGAAAATAACACATTACCAGTCAACAATAAGTGAACACAAATTCACTATGATAGTCCCACAGCTGAAAGGGACATAGGACTTGCAGGTTATACTGTACCTTGGTAGGCATGGGCTTCTTAAAGGTGATTTCAGCTTGCATCCAAACACCCCTTGGGGACTCAAGCACAGACCAGATCTTCTCTTGAACCACATGGTTTTCTTCAAAGATATAAACTGCTAGTGTGTCACTCATTTTCAAAAACCCATATATGGCATAATGAAAACGCAGGCAGTACTGCAAATTTCCTGGTAGGGAGGGACCATAGAGCCTTCCAATATAGCCAGGCTGAGATGTAAACTTTGTGTTGGCCAGCAGGTAATACCCTGTGAACACAACAAGCTATTTAGTGTAAGAGCAATGAAAACGAGCAACCCAAATTATCAAGTGAGAGATTTGATTAAGGTAGTGGGACTTGCCCATAGGCTTTAAGTGACAAAGATATTTTCTAATTTCTGAGGTTTAAGTGATAGAAAACATCTGTGTGCTTCTTTTTGCAAACAAAACCTTCTGTAATCCCAAGTAAACTTCATAAACCAGTGTATTTCCTACTGCATTGGTCTAGATTCTCATCATCAATTAAAGCTAAAGTTTTCATGAAGTAAAAAAGGATGAAATCGGCATGGAGCTATGGTTGCCTGGATCAACCAGTTGACTTAGGTTGTTCACCTGGTGCCAGGTCAATGGAAGGCCCAGCCAGAGCAGATTTCCCTTTCCTACCTCTGTATTGACCAGTGGTGAGGAGGAATGACAGGCTCACTGAGCAGTCTTATGGGATTTGTGTGTCTGGGCACAGCCTAATACTCTACCTGTCTTATATTAAATTAGCAACCCCCCAGGTGATGAGGATCCATGTTCTTTCCTTATTTCTTCTAAATAACATAAAGAAAGTAAAAGATGGCCTTCCCAACTTCCACATCATCCACACAGTCAACTTAAAACTCTGAGGGAATACAGTTCTGTTCTTTAAGTCCCAATCTGGGATATTTTGTTATGGCAGGTGGAGTGGTCTAATATGAGTGACCAATCAATAGTCAGCACAACTGGCCAGCTGGCTGTTGGCCAGTGAGGGTAAGATTCATATCTGATTTATTCACTATTGCATCTTTCAGGGGTTAGCTTGCCTTCCCTGTAGCTGGAATTAGAGGCGTGCCCAGATTATAAGGCCTATATTTGTACAAGTTAGGTAAATTCTAAGAAAAAGTATAAAATTACAAGTATAAAATTGCAAGGGCCCCTTCCAAAACCTTCTTAAGGTCTGTGCAAGTGAGAGTCTCTGGAACTTAACTTCATGACAAAATCTTTCCAGTGCCCAGGATATGAACACTTAATAAATTAATGAATGAATCAAGCTTTTCCCACTAGTCTTCACTGAGGTGGAATCCACAAAGGATGTCATTTAAGTAATAGGTATCATTATATAAGGAACATACAAACTCTGTTTTTTGGGGTAGATGTACCCGTGAAGTGCTCACTCAATATTTTCCAATGGCTTTTTTTTCCCAGTGATTTTTTAGTGTAGTAAAATACATAATGTAACATTTGCCATTTTAACTATTTAAAAGTGTGCAATTATGTGGTATTTAGTACATTCACAGTGCTGTGCAACCATCACCACTATCTAGTTCTAGAACATTTCATCACCCCAAAAGGATGGGATGGCCATTAAATAGTCACCCTTTATTCCTCCAACCCCTCTCCCCAGAACTATTAATCTGTTTTTTATCTCTATGGATTCCATTTGTTCATATAAATGGAATTCAATGGTTTTCTTAAAGTAATTATTTCATCTAAAGTGAGAGCAAAATGATTTCCAAAGGCTTGGCTAATTAACTGGTGAATGCTTATGCTAGCATAGCAACTTGAATCATAATTTTTTAAAAACTTGGTCACACACAGGATTACTGATTAATGTTTTTGTAAGTAAGAAATGGCCAATGACACATAAAAGCCACCCAAGATGTCCCACAACAGACTCCCAACTTACCAAAACCTGTAGTGTGGTCTCCAGCCCGATACATGTTTGGCTTCACTTTCACTCGGGTCCAGCCTGGGCCGTCTTTATCTTGGTAAAAGTTGCAGAGATCTTGCTCAAAATTACAGCTTGCCTCCATGGCACTGAAACGAAGCTCTGAGAAAATGAGAACCAAAGTTATGGTCAAACCCAAGGATCTCAAAGGACTACATCAACCAGTTGACAGATGTAGTTACATTTGTGCCAGGGGCGAGAGAGGCAGAAAAATACAAGGAAATGTTTTTACCCTAATGGCAGGCGGACAGGTTAGCATCAAAACAATGTTTCAACATGACAGAAAATCATTCTTTTCCTCTCTATAGAGAGTCAGGGGAAGAAAGGAATCCTGTCTATATTCTCTGTAAAAATAAATAAGAACCAGACTTCAAAAAGAATTTCCTTTTAGGATGTAGGATGTACTTATTCGCATACTTCTTCACAACTCAAAACCCTTGCATACAAAATTTAAAAGAGAAAAGGAAAGGATTTTAAGGTGCTCATAAGTTCTCTTTAAGTTATATATTTTGGAAATGATATTTTCCAGAAATAATTTTCCTTTGTTGATCATTCTCTGTGTCAGAAACAGAACTACTGTTTACTTTTAATTGGCATTTTAGTAGGAGCTGTGACGTTCTTGAGGAAAATCAGCACTTGGTATAAATCAGTTCAAAAATCACAGCAATTATCTCAGGGGGCTGCTGTTGTTTTGCTGAGTTCTGGCATCATTTACCCTGGTCTCAGCCCAGATTCTCTGGAGGGAGTGGAACATAAAAGATTTCTGTTCTTTTGAGAATATCTTTTAGTTCTACTAACAAGTGACCTCACTTGTTAGATGGACCTCTGAGTCCAGAAGGGATATGACTGTAGAAGTGTGGGACATGTTCACTGTAGCCAAGTGTGAACTTGGTCTGCACGCTGACAGACATTAAAAGGCTGGGGAAACAGAGTAGTGTTTTTTTATAACTGGAAAATATGTCTAGAGATACTTGAATTATGGGAGCAGCAAGCAGGTGACACTGGAAAGCTATTTAGGGACAAAGACTCATTATGCTCATAGTTTGTCAGTTTTCAAAGCAAGAAAACATTCAAGTAGGGTGAGGTTCTGACCCAGAATAAAGGGCTCAAAAGAAGTTAAATTCAGTCTTGACCCAGAAAAACACACATCTATAAAGGACATTCCTGGAATAATTGGAGAAACAATTGGTTTATTGCTTGTGAATTAGTTGATAATATTGCAGCAGCATTAAATTTCCTAAGCTTCATAACTATGATATAGTTATGTTGGAGAAAATGCACACTGAAGTATTTAGGAGTAAAGAGGCGCAATGTTTGCAACTCACTCAAGCAGTTGATAAAGTGAGCACGGCAAACGTTCATGGGTAGACTTGGTAAAGAGTATCTGGGAGTTCTTCAGGGTATTCTTAAAGATTTTGTCTGAGTTTAAAATGATATCAAAACAGTCCCCAAAATGCTTTTTTTAATAAAAAGAAGTAAATGATTTATAGCATGTTACGTAAAAAGAAGAAGAAAATGTTCCTGTATAATTGGAACCTGATAGTATCTCAGGCTACACGCTGTAACAAATTCTGGTGAGTCATTTTAGAGAAAAGAAAATATAGAGAATTCTCAATGCTTTGAGTCTGGTGAATTAGTCCCTATCCTGCTCTGTTCGATTTTCTCAACACAAGGGTTCATCTTGAAGTCCAGAAGACAGTCTGTGAAAAATGAAAATGATGTCATAGAATCAAGGAAACCGACTTTGGGAAAGCCCATGGTGGTATCCAATCTTACTACCCTCTGATACCTGGTAATGAGAAACAGATGGAAACCTAAAATCAACAGGTGGCTGTGTTGCTCAGGAAATGGTGTGGTACTCCCAAACGCCATGCACAGGGAGAACAACAGGTCACTGAAATTACTCATCAGGAATAAATCTCAATGCAGTACCTTGGGTGGCTGCAAGGAAATTTTAACCCGCTTTTTAGGTGTAGGAGGGTGTGGGAGGTAGTCCTGAAACTTGAGAGCTTATAGAAATTTAATTTAGAACCACCAAAATGTGGATGCAAGCATGATGTTCTTCAGGAGGTGAGTGGATACATGTCCTGTGGTGCATCTGTACAACAGAATTCAGTGCTAAAAGGAAATGAGCTATTGGGCCATAAAAAGACATGGAAGAAACTTAAATATACATTACTAAGTGAAGGAGGGCTACCTACTGTATGATTACCTATGGCATTCTGTCAAAGGTAAAACTGGAGTTAGTAAAAAGATCAGCAGATATCAGGAGCAAGAGGGGATCTGTGTAACACCATCATGGTGGATACAGTTTATTACGTATTTGTACAAAACCAGGGAACGTGCAACACCAAGAGTGAATCTCAGTGTAAACTATGGGAGCCTGGGTGATAGTACTGTGTATAGAGGAAAAGGATGTATGAGAAATCTCTGTACCTTCTGCTCAGTTTTGCTGTGAACCTAAAACCGCACTGAAAAATAGTCTATCAAAAAGCAAAAACAAAACGAACTTGAAAGTAATCGAGTATCACTTCTCTCTATGGTAATGTACTGAGTCAAACAGAAAAGACTTTTCTGGTGATGTGGTTATACTCCTTTAGCTAAACATCTAGTCTCAAAAGCGGATTTGCCTAACAAAAAGAAAATCTCAAAAGCATAACTTATAGACTAAATCTTTTTCACTCAGAATGCTGTTTCTACCAGGAGACAGTGTCTGAATGGGGAAGCTAGGGTCAGAAGGCCTGTCTGTGACCCTCAATGATCTGCTCAAGATCTGGAATGGAGGCAGAGCCTGTGCTTCCAGCTTGTTTCAGAAGTATGGGTCAAGTGATGATCACAAATTGAGCTACTGAGTGGTGTTAATGACATATTCAAAGGCTAGTGAGGAATCAGACACAGATGCAAGCCCCTGAGCATCAGCTGATGATCAGGAAAAAAAGAAGTCAAGCCTTTTGAAGCAAGCTACAAAAAGCGTCATCATGCAAGTTTTAGTTAATTACTTCCTTTCTGACACTTGAACTTCATGGAAATGAGAAGCTTTGAAGACGATCTAATTAGCTGGAGTGTGCGGCAATTTGAGAAGAACAGTTGGGAGCATTTCTCCTCCTCTCCTCTGCTCCATTGGGTTCATGGAGACAAACACAGCATCTGCCCTGTAGGTCTAAAAGGCTCAGCAGCCCTTGTAATGCTAAAGTAGATCACCACTGGGTTCCATGGTCTCGGAAAGCTGCTAAACTTCGTAGCCCATGAGTCAGCCTGAAGACAGGCAAGACAACTCAGTGCTCCCTGATAGAAAGGGAGTGGGACCTGGCACCATATTGGAGGATGATGATGACAAGAGGCTGGGCCTCGATTAGGCAGTGAAGACCTAGAGGTAAGGAAAACTGGAGCATCTCCACCTGTAACCTAGGTGGCAACTGGAACCAAATTTGCAAGACAAGAGGTCTGGACAGTGTGTCCTTGGTGAGTGGCCAACGTTGGGATTCAGGTAGTGATCCTTTGAGAGGAGCATCCATGAGTGGTCGGGACCCTTCCTGTCCCTGGCCTGAGGTAGGGTGGACTCAAGTCCAGAGAAGTTGGGCCTGTATATGGCAGAGCATTTTGGGGGCTGAGCATTGAGGCAAGATTTCTAGATGTAGATAGCATTGCCTGTTGGACACAGGAGGATTTACAGATCAAAAGGGGAGCTTCTTCCTAGAGTGCAGACTCTAGGCCAAAAGAAACTTGCGGATGAAAAAGGCATGGGAAGGGAAGGGTTATAACTCAAAGAGGGGTGGGCAGAGTCTTCTGGAAGCATCCAGAGGGATTACTTGGGGAGCTACATGACATTGGTGCTTAACAGACATGACTATGTGATAATCTCAGTTCTAGGAAGCTGGATTAACTCTAAACCCAACTAGATAGTGGCAATAAGATGCTTCATATGTTGAAATAATTCATGTCCCAGTCAGCTACAGAGATGAGGGAAGAAAATTCTAGATACAGCTGGAGAAAACAGAGACAAGAAGTCTGTAACTAAACAAGATAAAGAAAGAAATGTTGGCACCTGTTGTGAAACACAAGGGCATAAACTCTGTGAAATGCAAGATGAACTCTGAAAGCTAGCAGCTCAGTTTCTAGTAATTCAAAATTCATCTCTCTGCTGCTCAAAGAAGGATAAAGCAGGCTTTAGATGGAACAGTCATGAAAGTGTCTTTTGCTGGTTCTCATCAGGTTCAATCTGACCTCTGTTCTCCAGGGAAGAGATGGCATATTTTTAAAATTACATAAATAATATTATCTCATCACTAAGCATCTTTTGTGTCTCATACTCTATGCTACAGTCTTCGAAAACATTAACTCCTTAATCTTCCCAATAGCTCTATAAAATAGATTTCTTGCTCCATAGCCATGGTGCTATTTAACCTCTTTGAGACTCCATTTCTAGAGACTAGAGGTTAAATATGACCAATGTTACTCAGTTTACAAGTGGCAGAATAGGAATGTGAATCCAAACTGGTTCTTGAGCACAACACTATAATGATGCAATCAAACCATTTTAAAGCCAAGTGAGTATGGTGGGAGATTCTAAAGATCAATATGGAGCCGAAATGAACCTAACTGTATAAAAATGCATATGGTAGGAGGTACCTATAGGGTAAGAGGATTTATGTAGGCTATATTTTATAAACTAAGAGGACATAGCTCTTGTTAAATGGGCCTCATTTTGATAGAACCTTTCTTTGCCTTTTACCAGTCAGACCACCAATGTAGGAATAAGTTCACACAGGTTCTTTTTTACTGAGAGCATCTATAGAGATTGATTCTGTTAGCTCCCAGCTACTTCTTCACCTCATCATCTACTCAGTGCAGATATTTAACAAACATTTCTCCTCTCACATCTATAACTTAGAAATCAAAAAGCTCAAGGTAAACGTCTAGTAACAGAGAAGAGGAACTTTCTAAAAATAATGATAAAGAGGTTGTGAAATTACTATTAATGTGATTGAAAGATTAACTGGTAGGATTAGAGAACAATCAAATTTTAGAGAATTAAAACAATTTTGCTTTCTGTGTTCTGTCAAATTTAAAGACTATTTCAATCCTAGATTACTGTTTGGATTAAATCATTTAAATATATATACATATATATATACATATGTATATATATCCATATATGTCTAGTCTGCTCTGTTTCAATATCTTTAAAAGTTAGAATGAGTAAAAAATAACATTAAGTTTTAGCAAATGAAATTTCTCTCCAATTTGGGTCTAACAGTTTAGCTCAAAGAGAAAATACTACCTTTCTTAGTGCCCTGCTTGAATATATTTGAAACCATATCAAATTAGAGACCAATTCTATCTTCAGTGAAATTCAGGCTTCAAAGGTCAAGTTCAAAGATTTATTTCTCATTCTCCAAATCCAGAGTGAGGGCTTATTAATAAGATGGGATGACAACATGTGACCCTGAGTGTCTCAAGGAAATAAATTCACTAAATGGTAAGGTCAGTTGCTTTTATCTGGGTTATCACTAAAATATTGTTAACCTTATCCTAAAACATTTGTTTTCTAAATCACTTTGACTCAATTTGCTTATCTTTTTTCCCAGAAAGTAAAAAATTTCCCCTTTCCAGCCACCAAAGTTATTGAATTACAAAATTGACTATGACAAATTATTTAAGGGTTCACTTTAAAAGGAAAAGTAATTAAATTAAAAGCATATAATAATTAAAAACCATCCTAGAAATGTCTAAAAAATACAAACATCTATAAATATAAGGGCATTTTTTTTTTGGAACTGGGGTTTGAACTGGGCTTCATGCTTGCTGGGCAGGTGCTCTACCACTTGAACCACTCCTCCAGCCCTTTTTTGTGTTAGGTATTTTTTGAGATAGGGTCTCTCCAACTGTTTGCCCAGGCTGGCTTCAAACCCATGATCCCTTGATCTCTGCCTCCTGAGTAGGAATACAGGCATGAGCCACCTGTGTAGAGTCTATAGGGCATTTGTAAACCTCAGATACTTGAAGGTGGAAAGAGTTTTTATAATTTTATTCAGTAGGCTGAGTTTTTTTTTAACCTACCCAAGCCACCCATTTGTGGACTGAAGATTATTCTTTAAAGACAAAGGTGGGTTGGAGTAAATTAATATTTAATTTTCCTTTCCTAATATGCAGGGAAGATACAAATGCCTTAAGATATGACAATTTGCCTATAGTTTCAGAAAAATTAGATTCACTATGGGAGGGAAAAAGAGAATAAATTGTCCAGAAAAATGACTATTCAGATAATTAATTTAAAAAAATTGAATTCAAGTCCTCATGCTTGCTAGGCAGGCACCGTACCACTCATTTTTCAGACAGGGTCTTGTGTTTTTGCCCAGGGACAGAGATCCTCCTACCTATGCCTCCTAAGTATTTGGAACCACCTTGTTGATTGGGTTGGCGTCTTGCTCTTTTGTCCAGGCTGACCTTAAACCGTAATCCTCTTAATCTCCACCTCCTGAGTAGCTATCCAGGTAATTAATTTTTTGAAGACAGGATGGAAAAGTGAGGAAATCAAAGACAACTTAAAGCAGTGCTGACAACAGGCATCTATTGAGAAAGGAAAATTCCAAATGGGAGGAAGAAGAAGAGTGCTTACCTGTCTGATTTTGGCAGTGGACAGGAGAGAAAGAAATGTCATCCAGGGCAACATAACCTCCTTTGGGACTATTGAAAGCAACTTCAAAAATAACCTGGGGAGGAAAATACATGTTTACATATTCTCTTGCTTTTAATCATGATTTAAAATGCTATGTCAATCAAACTAGGTGAGGCCAAGTTACAGGACTTATGTAATCATGTTCTAAAATGCTTCTCTACCCACAGTCTATTTTAAGGTCGATGAAATTGCTATAGTCTGAACGTTTTTGTCCCCTGAAAATTTATATGTTGAAATCTGATCTCCAATGTGATGGCATTAGGATATGGGACCTTTTGGTAGGTGATTAGGTCATGAGGGAAGAGCTCTGGGCAGGGGATTAGTCCCCTTATAAGAGTCCTACTGAGCTTGTTTGCCCTTTCCACCCTGTGGGGACACAGGGAAAAGGTGCCAACTGTGAACCAGGAAATGGGCCTGTATAGCAGATACTGGCTCTGCCAGCACTTTGATCTTGGACTTCCAAGACTGTGAATAAATAAATTTCTAAGCCACCCAGTGTATGGTATTTTGTTATAGCAGCTCATATAGACTAAGACAGACCCCTTGTGTTTATATTTACTGGTGGACAGTTCCCTCTTCTTTGAGTGTCAGCTGAAGTGCCCAGATCATATCTGATTGAACTCATTAGCATTATGAACTTCCATTAATGGAAAAACAAGCTAAGTGAGGCAAGCTGGTCAGGTACTCCCCCTGCTCTCCACAGGTTACTATGCTGTCTGAGTCCCTTTCCCTTTGTATTAGGTGGCACTCTGTGTGAGAGGCTGGGGGAAGATGCAACAGTCAGAGATAAGTTCCCAGATCTTGGCCTGTCCAGACATGTTCTAATGGATGGAAAGAACATGGGTTAATGACTCCAACCACTTTTAGCCTTGATATTTTACCTGTCACTTGCTAACTCTGAGCTCAATAGATTTTCTGCCTATGACAAGTGGGAATTGGGTTGGTCAGCTCAGCCCTCACCTGTGTTGCAGTTGATAGCATGAGAAGACATGGTGTGAAGCAGGGCTTGAAACTTAAAAGCCTGCCTGGGCCAGGCCGTCATGAACAGGGCTTGCTATGGTGTAGACTTGAGGAACAGAGAAGGCAAGCCTATCTAAAGGGGCAGATGCTATTTGGCTGCATCAGTTGTTGATGGCAGGAAGTCAGGTCTGCTAGAGATGAATCGTGTCCCCCTAAAATTCATATGTTGAAGTCCTGACCTCCAGTACCTCAGTATGTTACCTTATTTGAGAATAAGGTCATTGAAAATGTATTTAATTAATAGGAGGTCATAACTGGTCATGGTGATACATGCCTGTATTCCCACCACTAGGGAGGCTGAGACAGGAGGGTCAGGAGTTCAAGGCCAGCCTGGGATACTTACTGAGATCCTGTCTCAACAAATAAACACTACCTTCCCCCTAAAAAATCAAACAAACAAAATGATGAGGCCATACTGGAGAAAGTTGGCCTCTATTCCAAAGACTGATGTCCTCATAAAAAGGACACACACACACACACACAGAGGATGATATTTGAAGATGATATCAGAGACCCACAAGTCTATGAATGCCAAAGATTTTCAGAAAACCACAAAGGCAGGGAACAAATCCTCCCACAACCTTCAGAAGTAGTGAATTCTTCTGACACCTTGATCATGGACTTTTGGCCTCCAGAAATGTGAGATATTAAGGCTCTGTTCCTAAGCCACCCATTTTGTGCACTTTGTTATGGCAGCCCTGTAACAACAAGGTTGAGCATCTGTGCATTAGGACACTATCAGAAGGATCTGGACCTCTAGGTTCTATTTGATATCTTTGAATTAGTTAATGCTGGTAACTAATTGAAAAATTAAAACAAACAAGCAAAACACACTCATACAAAGAAAAACAAACAACAAACAAAAAACACTACAGCAGCTAGACAATGGACCATGTGTTAGATTTGACCTCTATCCTGGTACCCAGCCTTTCCAAAATCTAGAGGGATTCCTGGAAGTTTGCCTCTGGCAAAGAGCAAGGGCTATGAATGAAGGAACAGATGTGGACATAGGAGAAGGGTGAATTAACTTTACAAACTTGACACAGATCCATGACATTGAGGCTCTGGCTTATAAAGAATGGTATAACAGAATTTAGTTCACATTAAGCAGGTAGAACAAGCATGATATTTGTGACGAAGATATGCTGCTCACAGCCCATACGCCAATGTGTTCTCTTATTCAGAAAGTCAGTCTCCAGAGTTTAAAATTCAGTTGAGAATATGGTGACATTAAATTCACTGGTTTCTGCAGGACGAGTTTCTTTTCTTGGCAATTAGCAAGAGCAAATAATACCCATCAGTAGGCTCAGGTTAGTGGAGCAAAATCACACACACATGGACCTAAAGAAGTGTGTTGAGGTTTACTGCTGTCCAGCATCATAAATTTTCAAATATTGATTTAAAAAATCGAATGGTGTTTCACTTGTACAAACATTGCCTGAGGAGTTTATGGTTGGATGGGAGGAGCTGATAAAATGCAGTGTGTGTATTTGTGTGTTTGTGCATGTATGTGAATGTGTTTGACTCATTTGACTTTAATAGGAGGAAAGTGTTCTGAAGCAACACATGCATCTCTTTTCCTCAAACTCACAGAGCAATTTCCACTGGGCTGCAAGAGCAACTACAGGCCTGGCCAGGTTTTGGGACAGGAACTAGCACACTCTCTGCAAAATGCACTGTGTGCTCTCTGGGATGGCTTGGGGTAGGGGAGAAGAGAGGAATAGGAAGGAGATCAGGGAGCGTTGGGCATGCCATCAGTAGATGGAACATCTCAGAAATCAGGACCTAGCCTCAGCACTCTAGTTTTACAGCAGGCTAACAGATGGCACCACTGAAAAGCAGCCAGAGGAATAATCCACTTCTGTACTTTAAAGGGAGGTGGGAAGGTAATGCACAAAGTGAAAAGTGGGGTATTAGGAACTTGTGACTCTACTGACAGCCCCAAATCCTTACAGTCATCTTACATGTATACCAACCACAATGCCCTTGGAGCCTCAAGGTCCTATCATATCCTCAGACAGAGAGGAGCCCCTGGCCTCCTTCAGCTGTAGGTTAGATTTTAGGCTAGGAATTTTCCTAAGCTCTCTGGCATTCACCAGCTGCCTGACCTAGAAAAAAGATGTGAAACTTCTTGGACTTTTTTCTCCTTTCCCATCTGTAAAGATGGGGGAAAATCTATCCATTTTGTTGGAAAGTAAGCACTGAAAGTTCTGAAACACATTGCTGTAGATGTGTATTAACATGTGCTTAGAAAAAGCCTACCAGGATACACACCAAAATGTTAGCATTCCTCATCACTGTGGGGTTAGCCTGGAGTGTTCGAACTTACTTTGCTCCTTTGAATCTTCTAATTCTTCTGCATTGGACATTTGTTTCTTATAGAACTATGAAAAGGGTTTTCTATTTTTATTTTTATTTTTTTATTATTCATATGTGCATACAATGCTTGGGTCATTTCTCCCCCCTGCCCCCACCCCCTCCCTTACCACCCATTCTGCCCCCTCCCTCTGCCCCCCACCCCCTCGATACCCGGCAGAAACTATTTTGCCCTTATTTCTAATTTTGTTGAAGAGAGAGTATAAGCAATAATAGGAAGGAACAAGGGTTTTTGCTAGTTGAGATAAGGATAGCTATACAGGGAGTTGACTCGCATTACTTTCCTGTGCATGTGTGTTACCTTCTAGGTTAATTCTTTTTGATCTCACCTTTTCTCTAGTTCCTGGTCCCCTTCTCCTATTGGCCTCAGTTGCTTTTAAGTTATCTGCTTTAGTTTCTCTGTGTTGAGGACAACAAATGCTAGCTAATTTTTTAGGTGTCTTATCTATCCTCATATCTCCCTTGTGTGCACTCGTGAAAAGGGGTTTTAAAATAAAGGCACTAAGACTTTCAAATTAGGTCTCTAACAATCAGTTTATTTCTGATTTTGTGTCATTATTTCTGTTGCAAAAAAAGAAATAACTCACTTTTTTCTAGTTTGCTTAATTAAGGGAAACCTTTGAAACTGGTCTTAGGGTGGAAGTGTGGAAACGGGTGCACTCAGGATCTGGGTCTCTTGATTTGAAATCCTGGGGATCATAGTACAAGGCTCCGAGGGAGTGTGTACCCAGGAAATCTAGTTGGCTGACTGGCTTCTTCCATCATTTGCCATATAAAGAATACTCTTGGTAGCAAATCATGATGAAAAAAGGAGGAAGACAGGAGGGAATACAGAGGAAGGGAGAGAAGTGGAGGGGGCTGAGAAGAGGAAGAGAAAAATTAAAATACAGGTACAGAAAGAATGGAAGAAAAAAGGTGATGTTAACTAATGGATACAAAGTTCCAGTTAAGTAAAAGAAATAAATTTTGGTTTCTAATGCACAGTAGGCTGACTAGTTAATAATAATAATATATTGCAAAATACCTAGAAAGGATTTTGAGTGTTGTCATGCCCACAAATGATAAATGTTTGAGATGATGAATATGCTAGTTTCCTTGATTTGATTATTACACGTTGTATACATTTTTCAAAACATCACACTGTATTCCATACATGTGTATAATTATTTCTGTCAATTAAGAATAAAACTTAAGTCCAGGCACCAGTGGCTCACGTCTATAATCCCAGCTACTCAGGACACAGAGATCAGAAGGATCATGGTTTGAAGCCAGCCCACAAAAAAAAAAAAAAAAGAATAAAACTTAAAAAATAAATCCAGTATATGCTCACCTTAAAAAAAAAGATTGAAGTGTATCAGGAAAGAAAGACTGAATGTACAGGCTGGAGAGTGGGTTGACTTCCGTGTGTGTGTGTGTGTGTGTGTGTGTGTGTGTGAGAGAGAGAGAGAGAGAGAGAGAGATTCCTACAGTGCCACCAAGCCAAATGCACCTGGCTCCCCGCACACCTACCTCCATGGGGTAAGGAGCGCTGAACTCGACCTCTGCGAGGTTCCAGGCAGCAATCCCTGGATTGTCCACTTTCCAGATCTCCTCATACATGCCAGCCACATCCCGAGTATAAAGCGAGAAGACGTTGTCGTTCCCCTGTTGGAGCTGGTAATAGAAGGACAGGCAGCCGGACATGGGGGCTGTGGTCATAGGGGAGATGAGTTGTGCCACCTCCTGAAAGTGCTTCACATAAACCGAGTCCACATACATGTAGTGGCCTGGAAATGACACAGACAGAGCACAGGGTAAGATAGGAGGGGTTGCAGATGAAACTGTGACTCTGGGACTAAGCTGAACATCATCCAGTGGGAGTGGTGTGGAGGAGGTGGGTGGATTGCAGTTGGAAGAGTCTGGCCATGAGGGATAAATGGTGCAGCTGGAGACCAGCACATGGGGTTTGTTGTACACTGTAAGTGCTAGATGAGAAGGATTCTTTGTATTGCCCTTACTTTTGATTGAAGTAAGTTATACATACAGAGAGGGAGATCATCTGCAAAGTGCTTGAATTGTCACAGAATGAAGAGAAGCAACACTGCCCAAGAACCGCTCCTTCCCAAGTTTTCTTAGAATTAAGGCATTTAAGAGCGTACTAAGCTTGCCATCTATTAGTATTAAGAGGGCACAGGAAGACCCTCCTGATGTCTTTACAATTCATATAATATGTCACTGTGTGCTTTTGAGTGAAGCTAAGACTGCTCATTCAAACTAAATGGCAATTTGCTCACTGTCAATGGAACAAGTAGGCGAATCAACACTGCAGACAGGGCTAGGATTTGGGAGTCCGAGCTAGTGAAGTCATGCTGGCGGATCATAGTGATACCATCTGGCAGACCCAGCGGCTGACTTCCATGAGAGGCCAGAAACAGAGGAACCATGAGGCACTGAAGAGTACTGAGTTTGAATCTTTCCTCCCTCTTACTGGCCCTGAGGCCTTGAGCAAATTCCTGAATTTGTTTGGGCCTCAATTTCCTGGTCTTTACAATGAGAATCAAACACAACCATCCTTTGGTAACCATATAGGATTGGTTCCAGGACACCTACTACACTCCCAGGATTTAAAATCTGTGGATGCCTAAGTCCATTATACAAATGCAGTCGTATTTGCATATGGCCTGTGCACATCCTCTCATATACTTTATTTTTGAAGCAGCATCTCACTATGTAGCACAGGCTGATCTTGAACTCACTGTGCTGCCCAGGCTGGCCTTGATTTCATGATCTTCCTGCTTCAGTCTTCTATGTGCTGGGATTATAGCCATGCACTATCACACTTGGCTCTCCCATAAACTTTAAATCACCTCCAGATTATTTCTCATACCAAATACATTATAAATGCCATGTAAATAGTTATCATTCTGTATTTTTTTAGGGATTAAGAGCAAGAAAAAAGTATGTACATATTTAGGACAGATGTAGTATTTTTCTGCATATTTTTGGTTCACTATTAGTTGAATCCATGGATGTGAAACCCTCCAATAGAGGCTGTGAACCGCACTTCCCTCATAGGGTTGATATGAGTATGAAATGAGGTTATGTATCTAAAGTGCTTAGTGTGTGACTAACACATTGTAATTGCCTAACATAATTATAATGAAATAAAGTAATACCATTCACGAATCTAGAGTTATACTTTCCCTATAGCTATGCCTTTTGCATAAGGCATAGCTATTATTATCAGCAATTTTGCATAAATTACTTTCAGCTATGATAGAGAAATGCTATGCAATGTACTGTGGATCAGATGTTTTTTCTACTTACAAATGCACAACAATTAAGACTGAATATCTTTGTTTTTATTACAAAATTCTGGGTTAGTAAGAATTTCTTTTGCCTCAGAAAAGAATATTAAGAAGACTACAGTATCTGAAATTCATACACTGGACACTAGACACTTTGCGTCTAGTACACTGCCCTATGTGAGGAGGCTCTCAACACATGGTTATTCAAAGCACGAATGCAGTCTCAGAAAGGTTGTCACCCCAACAAGGGAGAGGAAAGATGGACTGATCAAAGCTCACTTCCTCTGCGTGGTAAATTGTTCAACCTCTTAAATAATCTCTCTTGTTTAAATGTAATTTCTCTTATTGCCTTGCCAAGCCTTGCAACTGTGAATAAACAGAGATCACACACTCAGATGCTCAGGGGAGATACCAAGAATAAGTGCATGTGGAAGAGAAAAATAGAGGCTGGTGAATAGATGCCGGCATTTGAAATCATATTTCCCCAGCAGTAGGAAACAAAAATCAAGCGTCTCTGGAAAAAAGTCCCAGAAAATCTGATCACACCGGGCCTGTATTCTCACAGGCTGCTAAGCAGCCCACCCCTTGCACCAGCCTGTGTTTTGTAGCCTCCCTGAGTGGGAAGGTTCCACTCCCACTTGATGCTTGACATCTAGCCCAGTGCTGCTGGCTTCTCCACAGAAGCCTTAAATCCAGGTTTAATGGCAAATCTATCAATTTTTAAATGGTGCTTCCCCTTGCCAGGCATGGAGAGACATGCCTGTAATTCCAGCATTCCAAGAGGTTGAGACAGGAGAATCAATTGCGAGTTCAAGGCCAGCCTGGGCAACACAGCAACATACTGTCTGTACTAGTATGATGGTCCCTGTATTAGTTTGCTAAAGCTGACAGAACAAAATATTATATACTGGGTGGCTTAAACACTAGGAACTTGTCTCACTGTTCTGGGACCTGCACGGCTGAGATGGAGGTGCCAGCAGGGTTGGTTCCTTCAGAGAGCTGTGAGGGAAGAATCTGTCCCAGGCCTGATGCTGACAATCTCAGCAGTCCTTGGCTTGTAGCTCTCAGCCTTTATCGTGTGTGTGTGGTGTGTGTGTGTTGGGCAGAATTTAGTGAATAAGGAGATAGGCAGGGCTTGTGTTTCAACAGCATGGAACAGTCAGGTTGATTATTGAACCTCAGCAGCCATTCACACCCCTCCAGGCTTTAGCTCTTGGTGCTGCTGCTCACTCTCCCTTTCTTCAATCACTTTGTCTCAGCCATGTGAGAGGACAAAATATACACTGTCTGAATCTTAACCATTGGTTGAACATATTTGAAAAAAAAATTAATTCCAGAAAGTTCCCAAAAGCAAAATTTGAATTTGCCATGCTTAACTCTACCCAGAATCCATGCAAATGATATGCAGGCAGATCCTTCCATGGCTTCCTGCATTTCTCAGTCCTCTGTATTTATAGAGTAGCTGGGTTAAGCAGTGTTCACGTCAACCTTTATGCCTGTTCTCCCTATACATGGAGCTCCCTCTGTGACCAAAGTTCCCCTCTTCCTAAGGATACAAGTTACATTGATTTAGGAGCCCACTCCTAACCTCATAACCTCATCTTAATTAATTGCATATTATAATGACCCTATTTCCAAATAATATCACATTCTGAAGTGCTGAGGATTTGGACTTCAATATACCAATTTGGGGTAACACAATTCAACCTATACCAAAACACCCTCTACCATAATTTTTTAAACCTGGAGTGTATCAAATAAACATATCTGCAGGCTGTGTATGGTTCATGTGGTCTATCTGGTCACCTCTGGGGAGGAATCTTTTTTTTTTTTTTGGTGGTGCTATGGTTTGAACTGAGGGTCTTATCTTCACTAGGCAGGTACTCTACAACTTCTGCTACTCTGCCAGCCCCTGGGGAGAAATCCTAAAGGCAGAGCCAGAATATCAGATTGGGTAGAAACCAAAGAACGTCTGATATGGAAAGAAAGCCACTCCTCCTTATCCCAAAGTTAAGTGCCCTCTAAAGTAGTCCTCAGGACCAGCCACCCTTGACTAGAATATTCTAGTAATGGAGAATGTATGTGATGAGTTGGCCTCTGTAACATGACTCTGTTCACTAAGAACTCATATGCGCATCAAAAGCACAGATGGCGTCTTTATTGCCTTTTGTAATATGTCTTAACGATGAAACAGAATCCCCTTGCAAGTTCTCCAGGCGGGGGCGGGGAACTGAGTGGAGGCGAGAGAGCTATAATGCTTGGTTTCCTTTCTACTTCATTGTGGGGGCGATAGAGGTGAGCCGCAGAGTTCTCAGGAGAACTTGCTGCAGGGACCATAACTGCCTGTTACTCTCAACTGCCCCATCTTTGAATCCATGACAGAGTTTTTAATAAAGCCAGCCATTTTGGGCTATTCTCAGCCAGTGAACAAACCTCCAGGGTGGTCTAGAGTAGGGCATTTCTGCTTTCAGGGGTTCTTCAGTTACTCCCCATCCTCCTGGCTTCTCCCTCTTTCTCAGGTTCCTATCCTGTGCTGAAGATGCTTCTCACTCAGGACCACATTATCACTCTGTGGGCTCCAGGCCCTTTTACTTCTCTGTAACAATACTGAAAATTCTAGTCTATGGCTGCAGTGGTAAGGTGAAGTAATCTAGGCTGTATTTGTTGTTACCATATTCATTTTTCCTTCTGATTTAAAAATAACTAAAATTAAAACATTGTTACAGACCCCTAAAAATGTCATAGCTCTTAGACACTTGTACCCACTGTGCCTAATTAGTAAGCTGGCCTTATCCCCAACCTCTTTGGTTCCTTCCCCTGTTAGTACTTCACAGCTATCTCTCCCCAATAAATCTCTTTCCCATCTAATCTTAGCTTAGGGTCAGCTTCTTGGGGAACCCATACTGCCATAGCCTTGAAGAGGAAAATCATTTTGCCCAAGGTAAAGAGCATTTATCTCCAAAGATTCTAGAAAATTCTCAATGAATCTGACAAACTTCACAAATTCACTTAAAACTATCCATTCCACTTTTGGAGTTGTGCTATTACTGTGCTGAGCTAGAGAAAATTCTCCCCTGCAGCTACATTATAAATCCCTCTTCCTTGCAGTTGATAGACATCTGATAGTGTTCTGTAAAGTCACTTACTTACCTGCTGTGTGGACAATAGTGTAGTCCCGGCATGGGTAGTTGGAGTGCCTCCTTAACAACTCATGTTCACGATGTCAAGTGAACCACAATCATATTTCTAATCCAAAAAGCATCTACCAAACACAATGTGACCTGCCCAACATGAGTCACAGAAGCTGCCAGGAATCAGACCAAGACTGCTGACACCGAGTCTCACATGGAACCACTAGACTAAGACACATTCTGTTACCCACCTTTTCCTCTTCATCATTTTTTTTTGGCACCATAGGATCCTATTTACTAACAATCTGAGTAACATGAAGTATCTCATTGGGAAACAGAAGGT